TTACCACGTTTAATCAATAAAAACAAATAACGAAGTAATTTTTCTATCTCTTATTCGTTATTCGATATTTTTTATCTAGATAATGAATTTGCCCATCCCTGACTTGTAACGGGGTAAACTCGAGCTTGACCAAATGTCCTGATTTAGAAGTGACAAAATAAATGAACCTTCATCGAGGAAAATGAGAAATGGTTAATAGTGACGAACAGATTGCAAGAATTTGAACCTATCTTGGAATATATGAAAATTGATTGTCTCTCGGTTTATCCTTTGACTGGGCACGCGGGGGGAGCTTTATAAATTGAATACACTGTATTATTTAAATCATCTCGAATTTTGTGCTTTCGTATACCTGAGTTTATGTCATTCAATTCAAAAGTACCTAATATAGATTGTAGAAACTTGGCATATTGAGTCTAACAAACCCCATGTGGTCAACCATGTGATTTTAAAGCACCTGGTCACTTGTCGAAGGTTAAAAGGTCATGATATTTTCGTGAATGTGTATTATAATTTATAATTACGGTCGAGAATTCCACTAATATGTTCCTTATCTTATTTCTAAGAAAGATAGGAGCTTTCGAATTATTTAAAAGAAAATGAAGAGATGATGTTTAACGGTAACGAAGACGGTTCCAGAAGGGAGTTATGATAAACAATAATCGGCGATAAGTCAGCGATGATTTATGCACAACTGTTACCTGGAAGGGAAGAGTAGAACGTCAGGTAATTTTGGGCGTTCAGTAGCCGGATTCGAAAGTCGTATTTCGAAAAAGGAAAACGACCTTGGCGACAAAGATGCAGGTACAGAGGAAAGATGATCTATACTGAGGCCTCTGTTCACTCGTGGAACGAAACGACTTCTTCTCTCATTCACCGTCATAAAACCGCATCGCAACACATTTGACAGGGTTTTGTCCGTTTTAGCTTCTATTTTTCCGGGCACCGGAAGCAACGCAAGTTCCCCAGGATAGCTTCTGCTCGTAAAACTACAACGTCGGTTATGCTCGCTATAATTGCGAACGACGGCCAAGGAAATCGCCGTATTCGATCTAGGAACCTTCTGATCGCTGGAAGACCGACGAAGCAAATCAGAGAACAGTGAAGTTGTAAAATATCATCGAAACAAGATAAAATGCTACAACCGAAGTTTCAAGGGTTCTTGCAGCAAAACAATTATTTCTTATCTTTTCACTGCTTTAAATAATAAAAACAATATTTTGGAGCAACAAATAAAATATAAATAAAAAAATCAGAAAAATTGGACCTTTCTTTATCTCATTACCTTAATTACGTATTAACTAAATTTCTAGAACACCATCACATAATCTATAACTAGCATACAATAATCGTTAAAAGTCGAAAATCCCGTTAACCGTTCATTTCTAGAATTATTTCCGATTTGTTGGGTTCTTCCACCATCGTGTGGCGTCGTCATCATCATCGGTCCGAAAGTGTTCATTTTCCCAGTGGTGTCGTGATACGTGACGTCGTGATGCTCGGGACGAATAAACGGAAAGCTGACCGTGTCCTCTGTTCTAAACAGCACGAGCATTTAACGATACAGAGCACCTACGGTCACCAATGGCACGTGCTGACATATGGGCTTTAGGGCTTTGCCCGGGGGTATCCAGGCGGTCTCGCTTTGCGGGGGTGGTAAATGGGGTGTCATCGTGTTAAATGGCCCTGATGCCCGCGAATCCATTCAGGGGCATGCTTTCGGCCGAGTCTCGAAGCCAATTCTTGCGGCTAATTTCCACCGTTTATACGTTTAATTGCCCTTCGAAGCCACCTGGACTACCCCTCCCGGAACCGCAGAACGGGTCCGAAACGACTTTATTCGATAGGGATTTCAGATCGTTGCTTTTATTGATTCTTGAAATCTATCGGTTCCCATTGTAACGCAGGCCAGCGAGAAATCGTTTATTCCAGCGAATGAAAAGTTTTAATACGTTCGTGTATTAGAGTTTGTAGCGGATGAAATTGCCGATATTCGAACAGTTCATAGATATCCACGGTTAGTAGATTAAATATGATATATATCGACTGCTGTGCTACTTGGAGATTATAATATTATTGTCCTTCTTTATCTACTTTGATTATTGAATTTCTTTCGTGATTGTTTAACCTTCGTCAGGGCAGAATTGAGAAGAGCCTCAGAGGCCCTCAGTACAGAATAACTGAAATTAGTAATTATAAAATACATTGCGCCTTTTAATTCAGTTTATTTATTTAGTAGAATAGTAACATTAAATTTTTTATTTTTTATGATATATTATATTGTTCATTATGAAATAATAAAAGAGCCTCAAAGGTTCTTCTATCCGGATGAAAGTTAATTATAATACTTTACATGTATAAATCAGATAGTATCGGAAAAATAGTAGAGTCTTGATATTATATTTTAATTTTTTTTTCAAAATAAAAATTCGGGGGACAGTGGAGTGAAAATAAAATTTCGCCTGGCAAATGAAAATTTGTCCACGGAAGTTTAAGCGAGTTTCCCAAGCAATATATTACAGAATATATTTAACTTTCTTTATAACCACGAAAGCATATAAAGTTAGCAATATTAATAATTCAGGTATTTTCATTTCTGCCATTCAGTTACTATAAATATATGAATACTAATATCCTTGTATATATTTTTACCGTTGTTAAGAGAAAACGAAATACATTGTATAATAAAGGAATTGTTTGCATACGTTAAAATGAACACACTGTACATGGCGAACAGTGCAGACAAATTTTTCCATATTCGTATCATGTATATCCGCATCGAATACACGCCGTTCCGCGAACAGGATAACGGAGGATTGGTCGAAATCAGCGGATTCACGAATTCTTTTCTTATTCCATCCTAATTCGAGGGAACGACCGTCGTAAAACGAATCAGAGGGGTATCATACCTCGGAATTCCTCCTCCCGATTACCCTCTGGACGCTCGTTTTTGTTCCACCCTCCTGGAACCGAGGGATGAAAGGAGGAAAATCTCGGAAAACCAAGCAGGAAACCGTATCACATGGAAAACGGCCCTCCTCTACCGTGCACACGACTGGGCGCGTTTCAGTGTTTCGGTTTTTATTGTTTCTATCGACCCCCACATGTTGAAATTGCCGCCCGAAACGACGAATATCTTGAATATTTTGTAATTGTATAAGAAACGATATAAAATTCTATTTTATTATTTTAATTAATTTGGCACTGACTGATATATTATGAATTTGATGTTTGAATATGTAATAGAAGGAAGGATAATTTATCGCTGTATATGTAACTGGAAATAGGGAAAAAAATATCAAGTGATAATTAATTTCGTAAGTTGTAAATTGATTTCATAACAACTATCATATATTCATGAAAATGATATTCGGTTTTTAAATTATTTACTCGGTTCTCATGAACCATTGAAAACATTAAATACTGGTGAATATTCATTACATGTAAATTAATGTAAAAGAGCAGGTTAATTTGAAAGAGATCGTGACCTCGAATTTGAGAGCACTTATTTGAAATGTTAAAATGGATTTGTTTCAAAGTGGTTACACACGCCACTATTATACTACCAACAACGCCATCTGTTAACTATTCCTTGAACCCCCTTCTCAACTGATACCATTTTTGTGTCACTCCATCGCACTAACCTCCTCGTGGTTGACCAATTGGTATTATCTTTGGTACAGTATTGTAAACTGAAGGTAATATTGAGCTAATGACTGCGAACTTAAAATTAATTTCTCTAGTTATAAAAATGAATGTAAGATCAAGTATTTTTGTTGAATGTTCTATCTTACATGAAACTTAGAATATTTTAAGGCTACATATGCGATAGAAAATCTTTGTTTATTCTAAGGATACGTAAAATAAAAATTTGTGTTTCAATGGCTTTTTTGATAAATATTACTCACTTATGTGTGATAATGCAGAAGAGAAGTATACTATTTGTATTTGAAAACATATAAGCCTTTGTTGTCACTGTTAAACTGTTGTATTAACAATGGAAAAATAATGTATTTCAATTAAATTTACATACGAGCAAACTCCTGCTTCGTCTTATCACTCCAGATCCTCCGAGACGAATGACCCTTCGGCTACCTTCGATGGGTCAGGATCGGTTGATTCAGGTATCTTCGGGGGATCGTGATCAGTTGATGATTGGAAATAAGGCCCCTTCCCACAACAATTTCTATTTCAGCAACATAAAATATTCACCACCGTAATACATTTCATTATGACATTTTGATTAGATGTATTCAAGATTAGAGATGAGTAGAATAGACCTTCGTAAAACGGAAAAACGGAGGCACAAGGTTAATGTTTACTTTTGCAGAAGTCGCTGGGTTGGAAACAATTCCAAGGCCATATGTTTTATGCAACTGGTTGATCAATCTTTTAAAGCTCGCGTTCCAATTTACTAGATGGTTAATAAAGGATTTCAACTACATACATACCCCGGTCCATCCTCGAAAATTTGCTACTTCAATTTGTTTTAGAAAGAAAAGCACTCGTGTAGGTACAATGCCTCATGGAATTCTTACTGCCCGTTTCTCGATGTTTTTAAATCTGCGATACTTTCCTGAACGCCATCTATGATAAATACTCCTGTCAATAACAGTGGCGCCAAAGTTTATAAAATATCTGGCTCATATTACCAGTTGCTGATATTATCAATTAAATAAAAGTAACTGGTAAAAGCTTTTTGGAAATCAAGAGAACTAGTCTTGATAATACTCTAAACTCTAAACGTTTGGCCAACTGAGCTCGAGTTGAATCGAATGTCTCCCAAATTTAACGTTTTATGTACCTCGTCTGTGGTATAAAAGCATGTGTAATTTACTCATCAAGAAATATTTCATTAATTAATTATTACACATTTACTTTATTACGAACTAAAATACAAATTAGTAAAGAAGTTCAATAAATCATGTCTTTGAAACGGTTAGATTTCTTGTTTTCAAAAAGTAACTGTGATGCCCTCTTGAAGCAATGATTCCGGTTCCGGTTGTGTCTCTTTTAGTGCCTGACAGATTGGCAAGATGGTGAGTTTTATACAGTGGCTGTTAAAATCATTATTTTCCATTTGAATCTTTCATAAAATACACTAGATTTAACTTGGAAGCCGTAGTGCAACTATTTGTATAATTAATCTTGAGAATATTTTTCAATTTTTATGTAGAAAATGGTATATTTTAAGTATCGCTAGTTTAACGTTTGATACAGTTACATATTTAATTCTTATATTTACAAAATAGAATAACATATATGGTTTAATTATAAGATGTCTTGCTTTCGTAAAGATTTAACTTTTATTTGTTATTATGTGAAGGAGAATTCTGCAAAATTGTGTAACGTTAATCTAAATTATAGGTTAACTCATGTGTTAATCTTAAGCAACCTGTCTTTTTATTATATTATGCATTATTAATTGATATTTTAATTGCTTGTTCCAGTCGCTCGTAATTCCAGAGAAGTTCCAACACATTCTTCGTGTCATGGGCACGAATATTGACGGTAACAGAAAAGTCATGTTCGCTATGACAGCGATTAAGGGTGTTGGTCGTCGTTATGCTAACATTGTTTTGAAAAAAGCTGATATCGACTTGGATAAACGTGCTGGAGAATGCTCAGAAGAAGAAGTAAAAATTAATTTATGAATACGTTTATAAATATAGTATTAATCATGCCAGTAGTAGAATCCTTTCATTTCATTTCATTCTACAACTGATTTTAATGTTCTATGTAGTGCATTGTCAGAACATCAATTTAAATTTTGTGTAAGATTTTGTACATATGTCTCATATAAATGTTTATTTTAGGTGGAGAAAATTGTTACCATTATGGCCAACCCTAGGCAATACAAAATTCCTGATTGGTTCTTGAACAGACAAAAGGATATTGTTGATGGCAAATATTCACAGGTATGGTAGTAACTATATAAATGAAAAATATACATAGAAAATTTGTTAATTGTTTGAAAATATACTGCACAATTTCACGACTAATCGTATGAATTCTTGTATTGATTAGATGGTAATTGTGCCAAAGAAACTGCATGTCAGGTTGTTTGTTAAGATTTATCAGTTAACTGACATCCTGATAATTAGAATAATAGCATGCAACATTTGATTTCTTTCAATGCTGTATAATAGTAATATTACATTGAAATGTTTTTTGGGACATTTGAAAACAAAATCTTGTATTGCAGCTTACCAGCGCCTACCTAGATTCCAAACTCCGTGAAGATTTGGAACGTATGAAGAAGATTCGTGCTCACAGAGGTTTGCGTCATTATTGGGGTCTCCGTGTGCGTGGTCAGCACACAAAGACCACAGGTCGTCGTGGACGTACTGTGGGTGTATCGAAAAAGAAGTAATTTTATATTTCATAACTTACCAATAAACTTATAAAACAAAATATTCTGACAATTTATTTTTTTAATGAATGATTTTATTTAAAACGAGTTATTAACTTTATTTATATCACGGAAAATTTCAACATACAATGAATATAGATACAATTTTTTTAACAACGTTTATCTTGTACGTGAGAGAAATATTTGATAAATGTATTTTTATTGTTACACTTGCACAATTGACCATTCATTAATTGATATGCATATCGTGTATTGATAGCTTTTCTTTTAAACAGTAGTTTGCATTATTTATATGCAGGGTGTCTCAACTAACTTGATCACCTCGAATAATGACTTAACGGTACACTTTATCAAAATTTTGAGGCGTGGAACTTAAATGGCATCAAGGGGCAGATCTTATAAGGTACATGCTTTTTTTGTAGATAGAGGCATTTCGGGGATTTCAAGGGCACCTTTATTTTTTTGAATGGAATGACCTATTTTTTGTATAATAGATCAATAGAGTATCAAATTCTAAGTAAAAATGTGTTGACCTTCATAGGTCCTAAACCTAATAGTTAACGAGATATTTACAAAATAATTTTTAATACGTATGTACTTACTATCTGGAAGCTATAGGTACTCGACTGATACCCCTCAACTTCAATACAGTGATTATTTTGTAAACATCTTGTTAACTATTAGGTTTAGGACGTATGAAGGTCAACACATTTTTACTTAGAATTTGATACTCTATCGATCTATGGTACAAAAAATAGGTTATTCCATTAAAAAAAATAAAGATGCCCTTAAAATCTCCAAAATGCCCCTAACTACAAAAAAAGCACAAACTTCCACGTCTCTAATTTCATAAAGTGTACCATTAAGTTATTATTCGAGGGAACTACATTCTATAGCAGTGTCAGTTTATAAACTTACAGTGAAAGAACAAGTAAAACTCTAGAAAGTTATTGCACATTATGAAACATTTGTTCAATATATTGACAGTGCACAAGGCAGTTTCATTTCATATTCACTATAGAATGAAACATTAGATGCAATAAAGTGTGCATTAATATTAATTGAATTCTTATTGACAAACAATTAACATTTCCAAAAATGCTTTTGGCACTTTTCCTCGTTGATTTCCTCTTACACCCATAACGTAGTCGTCATCGCCGAGTATTTGAAAGACAGTGATTACCTAAAAGATAGAGTTAAACCTTGTGAAATTAAAGAAGACAGTGTTGAATGCTACATATTCATGAAAGCTCGAGCTGAAAAGCTGAAAGATATTAAAGGTTGTAAACAAATAGAATACATTTAACGAAACGAAATGATAATATTTATTTGATACATGCAGAGTTTGAGTAAATGTACATATGCGTTCGTTTATGTGTAACTTACTATATGGGTATGCATAACAATAATTCTTAATACCAAACAAATATACAAACGAACCAGAACATACTTGTGTAATAAACACCAAGAATAAATTTCACAAAAATAGAAAAGCCAATATACAATCACAAAACTTAAATCTAAAATACGTATTTCATGCACGTTTTTGTCGGAGGGGTACAATGCAAAACTTATAAAAATGCAGATTCTGAGACGCAAGAGACTTGACCTATTTCTACATGAGTATTATATATAATCCCAATGCGTTTATATCTTTCTTTATTTTACAATAACTTGCAATAATGTCGTGACACGTATATCTATAAAAATTTATTTACACTACTACCTTTTTACGAATGTGTTCCTATCTTACATCCTCTAAAAAAATATTCGTAATTCCATTATAATTTAAAACTTATTTTTTTAAGTGTACGATAGTATATTACGAAAAATTCTTGTACGATGAGCATTGATTTTCTCTATGTAATTTGCACTTCATCCATATGGATTGGTATCATTGCACTGAATTTAAACAGCCATTAAATGCATAAATTTCTTAATTACATGTGCTTGCATACTACTAAGAAATGCACCAATTATTCCATCTACCAATGGAATTCCCTATTACAGATTCAAGTTAAACAGCATCCATATCGTGTAAAATCAAATTAACCAAATGATTAGATTGCTACATATGAAATATATATTCTTCTAAAATACATTTACATGTTTAAACTGACACTAAAAAAATGAAATAAATTGAAATGTAAACTTTTAATCGCTTACCAATGTATTCATACTTTTCTATTAAGCCTATTGTTTAATTTGTTCCGAAATAAATTGTGTAAATGAAATAACTTAATTGGACATAACTATTTCATATGCACGAATCTTCAAAATAAATTTGTTCAGCAAAAATACTCTGATCTTACAATGAAAGATGTTTATAAAGGAAACTTACTTTCCGTAACGAGTCATGCCAATTGTTCGGCTATGATGCGAGCATGCTTCTTTGTATCTAGATCACAAATTTTGTTACCTCATCCTGATCGACGCTTAATTCGCTAGAATCCCTTGCTTCGTAATCAAATAGTACTCTTGCACGTTCTTGGCCATTTTCCGCTGATACATTGGAAGTTGGTGGGGTAGTGGGGTGATAAGGGCCCCCAGATAAGCTGGGTAGGATAAATTACAATTTGGATGAGTTTGGACAATATGCTCACAATATTTAGTTGACTCTCGTTCGAAAAAACATTCTGTGAACTTGTTGATAACTTTTCATATTTTGTCCGGACTTCTAAATACGCCTCAATGTTTATAAATTTTGAAAAATAGTATCACTTAATCGAGACACTTTATGGATTATAGTTTAAAAGAGAAATTTTAAGGAGTAAACACGAGATCTCACTTTTATCACGAATGTATATAAATGTATATGATACGCATGCTGGATGAAACTGAAATTGAATATTGTGTTAATATAGATAGGAAGGCGTAAGCGGTTCACAAGTAGAGGAACGTGAATAACATTAACAAGACAATTATGGAGTAAATTAGAGAGTATGTTAGGACATAGTTCTAGAAAAATGATAAACAATTGTACATTATTTTTGTGGGAACATAAACCATCATAATCTACAAGAGTTTATTAATATAGAGAAAAAAAACATAACATGCCTTGGAATTAAACATCGATTAACTACAAAAACTTTTAGATATTGAGTTAAACATTAAGATAGATGTATTGAAGCTGTAGTTTTTAATTACGTTATGTTACAAACTGTATTGAGACTAGAAGTTTTTCCTCTTACAAAATGACAGTTATTAAACATTTCGTAAATATAATTTATTGACTGCTTTCTGATAATTACAAGTTTGATAGCGATATAGTAGACTAAATACTGTTCAACGTGTCTATAGAATCGTTGTCATAGTTAACGAGTATGTATACAACAGAGAGAAAAGTTTCTGTGCCCTATGCTTTTTTTTTTTGTTACTTCTTTCATAGATACTAATTATTGCCATTGATTTGTGATTATTACATTCTACAACTAAATTTTTGACATTTCGGTATCAAAGGTAGCAGTAACATAGGTAGAGCCAGCAAGTGGTGGATGTACAGATGAATTTGGGGATTGTGTGGGTGAGGGGGTTAGCTCGATCACGTCTTCGCTGTTGACTCGCAGCAAAGGACTCGGCTGACGCGCCCTGCAATCCCAATCGTGCAAGCAAAGATAGAGATAGAAGGTGTACATCAGCAGTATAAATAAGAATAACAAGCCCCGTACAATGGCAGAAAGAAAGATAATAAAAAGTACCATTTTACCACGGAGCTTATAATTTTGATATTTAAAACAGAACAAGATAATTGTTAAGAAACAAAAGAAACAACATATATGCTACATACACCACTTTGCGGAAATAAGCAGAGGTCTAGAAAGTAATACTTGTAACTATCTACAGATCATGATGATCTTTGCGAATGAGTAATGGTTCTATAAGCTTCTTCTAAATACATTTATATGTCAATACATGACATAGCAACCAATAATCGTTAAACATTACTCACTCGGATCACCACAGAGTGGGATAGCTGTACAAGGATAGTGCAGGATAATTAAAAGAATTTTAAAGTGAATTAATTGTAAGAAATCAGATATGTTATCTTACCCAGCTAATTCGCGCTGCAAGTCTTGCATCGTCGCATGGCACTGAGCATAATGACGTGCTTGTGCTTCCACAAATTCATGTAAGCAACGCAGGTGTCCAGCCTGAGAACTTGAAACTCCTTCCAGCAGTAGTTTTACTATTTCTGCTTGATGATCAAAGTCCGACTGTGCTACCCTTAACTCCCTCTCTGCCTAAGTAAAGCAATATAAAGTTTTATTCCTTCTTTTTAACGAGAAATCACCGTTCAAATATCCTTTACGATATGAAAGTGACAAACGGTAAATATAAATGATTATGTAAGCTGTAAATGTTCATGCATCCATAAAATATTTAAATGTGTATCAAACAATCTGGATTTGCATGCACGTTTGTAAATAAATGATAAATTGACCAGGAGGAAACCTTACGATAAAGACAAACAACAAACATGTTAAATATGAGATACATAAGAATACTGAAATATAATACAGTGAATGAAACAAAATTAATGAATTATTTCATTCAGTGTATGGATTGTATCGTTGAAGAATTTGATGTAGATACTATATAAAATTTAAGGAACAGAATATAATTAGCTACATTTCTGAGCTGAAAAAAGTATCAGCTTTGTCAATACCTGATCAAGTAACACTTCAGGTGATATGCCAGGCTCCTATCAGATGCAGCAATGTACGGGACAGAACACATAGTAAACATATATAGCACACGATCGAGTAACAATAAATAATAGAACTTACACTTTGCTGGCCCAGCATGCTTCTTGCTTTTCTCACCCTACGCTTACATGCATCTAGATCCAATCTAGATCAAAAGTAGTCAATTTATTTTCTGTTTCATTGAAACTGAACACTTACATTTAAATGGAAAACAAAGTATATACCGCTTAGTTTCCAATATTGCCATTTCTTTGCTAACAGTTTTCATTTCTCCTTCTAAAAACTTCCTTAGGGGCTGTATGTAACAATTAGCTGCAGTACCAATGAAATCTCTTTCAATTTGTCCTAATTTCTGTTCACACTGGCCAACTTTTATCAGTGCACTACCTAAAATGAAAACATTTTAAAAAAACTGTAATATAGTCATTGTTTTTAATTTTTTATTTAAATGATATGGGATAGTTGTTGAAAAAGGAAACCAAAATCCCAACAAACCCTCAAAAACAATATTTCATATGTATCAACTTAGTATTTTAACTTTCAAGTAGGTCAGAAAGCACATATATACCATAAGCAATTCCTGGGCCAAAGTCATTTCCAGCCTCTATCATGTCCATACCCACATACTCCAGATTACTCAACCTGTTAGGTTTCTTCTTGTCAATCTTCTCATAGAAGAAATCTTCGATTCTATTGCCTATAATAGGATATACAACAGACATACATAAAGACATTTCAATCTGATTACATTGTTTTAAAATGTATGTAAAAAAACATTATAATACCTGGGTTTGGAGTAAGTACTGACTCCATATTTTTTGTAATTTTTTCAGTCCATGTTTTAGTTGCATGTACCCTTTCTGCAAGGTGCTCTAAATGTGCATCCAATTCTGTTTTTTCTGATGTTCCTAATGTTTCCTCAGTTATCTGTAAAAGAATGTCAACTACTATAGGCTATACCTAAGACTTGCATGTTTCATTAGGTGAGAACATTCAGTCATAAATTTATTTCTGTAAATAATTTTATTTTAGGGCATTTCATATAACATCTTTGGGACATTTTACAATGTTAAAGCATCGACTTGCAAATAAAAAGGAACATTAGCCTTAGACATTCCAACTTATTTGATATGTTCTGAGTTCTGAGTCATCAAATGATTAATGATTTAGCTCTCTAGTGTCTGAGGAAGTCTATCTACAAAAAGACAATGCTTAATGTCAAGTGATAGCACCAGAAAGAAGTCAAATGATAAATGGCACATTATAGAAGAGAGATAATCACAGAAATTGAATATATTCGTTAACCTCAGCATTCGATAATTAAGTTTGAATTATGCACAGAAAGTAAAAAAGAAAAGTTCATATGTTGGGTGTAGCGAGTACGACAGGTTGTAGGGTACGCTATTTTGTAAAAGCAAACTGAAAGAAGAACTGTCTAGACACGGTTGGTGCTTTTTATATTTTTTCCTCGTCGAGAATGAGTACAAAATGTCAGAAATGACAGCGTTCAATTACAACTGGCCTAAAACGGAATCCGTATTTGTCAACGAAAATTTGATGAATTATCACGCCAAATGTTTCTCACCTGTACAACTCTACTAAGAACAGCACCAGCATCTTTTACAAATTTCTTCACGTTGAAATCCATTTTTACGCCTTTTTCGGTATGAATCTTCTATGATCAATCTCTGACACTTTTTATTTTCTATCGACCACTAACTCCAACTGCTTCCGTCATGAGGCGCTTCGTAACAATTTGCGCATTTCTTTGCAAATTCATTTGAAATAAGTCGTACGAATTAAATGTTCTAAGTTACAATGCCTTGTCTTATAGTATAAGACACTTATCAACAAAACAATAATTGCCGCACGGTTAATTGCTGTTTAACAAACTTCATAGCGTTACAAAAAATACGACAAAATTATAAGCTGTAGTGGTAAACACAAATACGCTCTGTTGTTGCTACATTATTTGTTTCAGTGTCCTGTATCGAAATTATCCAAAAAATTGCTATTTATTACGATTCTTAATTAATATTTAATTTTTTAATAACACTAGCACTTAAAGGATATGGTAGTACCATCTAGCGACAAAATTTAGTACCCAATTGGCTAGTGGCTTGAGTGTTTTATTGTAGATAACGCCACAGATCTGGTTGATCACTTTCCAATACATATGTATATACATACATATGTACGACGATTACCATTGAGCTCTATACTACTTATATTTTTTAAAATAGTAGATATTCAATGAAAATTTTACCAACATTTTTAATCCAGTACTTTGTGTGTTTCATACTATCAATTGTTTTTCTGTACTTTTCCTGTTTTATTACACCATATTTATAACGACCAAAAGATACACATATATATATCATATTACACAGAGTGACCCATGTAAATGTCGCCACGAAATTTCGAGACTTTCTTTGAACTTTGCAACAAAAACGGGACACATCAAGACCGAGAGCAAGTCCGCAGCGTCTACAATATAATCATTAGCCGGCGAAAGCGTTGCAGGCGGGCTTGCGCAGCCGAGCAGAGCAAACAGATGTTTAGAATCAAAAAGAAATTTATGAGGATCTGAAACATTTGCCCTGGACTATATTACAGCTCCCGACGTGGACCCGAGTTCTTGACAGTAACAATAATGCAGTAGAACGTCCCTTGTTTCCACGTATATCTCACACACGTGCGCTCACCCCACTTTGTCGCCCAGCATGGAAGGAACGGAATGTATACGGTGTCGCGTTTAATTCGGATATTTTTCATAACAGAAAGTGCAGAGTATATAGTATGTAATACTGTTTTAATCAAATGTTCCAATACTCAATAACTTCTATGATTAAACTTGTTTGATGTCTCTAAAATGAACGGAGTAAGATGCTCAAAAAGTGCATACATCCAACCCACCCTATATAGAGCTACATCGAACAAATGAACAGGCGATCGGCGGGAAGAGCACGCATGTGATTGGAGCCCGTTAATTGACCGATTCCTGGATATTTCTCGAGAATTATCGAACTTCTACTGTAATTGGTAAGAATAACAGGAAAAGAATCCGTAGCCGTTTGAACCTTCAAAATTGAGGGACTGTCCCCACCCTGAATCCGTCATTATAGAAACTGATAGAAACCACGACGTCGATCCTATGACGTACAGCGAGTGACCAATACCGACGCTTCTTACCAAAGTGAGGTGCCAAACAGTGTCAAATTCGTTTGAAAATGGCATTTTGCACGCGATCGTTCGTATCCATTCTTATCCGAACATTTGGAGAGAGAACCACTGAACGTGTTTCCTCTTACATGTATCGCATGTATCTACAGAAGTCTACATTTAAAGTGCATATGTATACTTTAGTATAACTGTGAATGCATTTAATAAAGTAGTGAATTAGTTTTTATTAATTATACAATTTTATATTTAATTATGTCGTTTAATGGTACGTAGTTCTTTTAAAAGTGTCTAATATGTCGGGTAAAAAGAAACCTACTTTGTCTATGCAACAAGAGTTGGACATTATACGAGACATAGAGGCATTACAACCTATTTCTACGATTGCCGAAAAGTACCATGTGAACCTCATGACAATTCTTCGAATGCAAAGAAGAATGGCAAATATTCACGAATTTTCGAATAAGAATACGTTAGAGAAAAAACGACCAAGATTAAGAAAACGATCGCATGAAGAGTTAGAAAACCGTTTATTTACATGGTTTACAGAAAAAAAGACAGCTGGTGATTCTATAACAGATAATATACTTTTAAAGAAAGCTGTTGAATTAAAAGAGAGTATCGCATCATCTTCAGAATTTAAAGCAACCAAAGCTTGGCTTACAAAATTTAAAACACGCCATCAGATACGTTTAGTGCACACTGAACAATCTGTTGTTGATGTGGATGCGGCTAAGAGATTTGTGGATGCATTTAATAAACTTATAGAAAAAGAGAATATAAATGTGGATAACATTTATAACATGGGAGAAAGCAGTCTTCTATGGAAAGCTGTCCCCACAAAAATACTTGCAGAACTCAAAGACGATTACATCAGTGACTACAAAATTGACAACGAGCGATTTGCAATGGGATTATGTGTGAATGCATCAGGGACAAATAAAATTGCACCCTTAGTCATTTATAAATTTCGAAATCCAAAGGCTTTAAAACATTGTAAAGACAAGCTGCCTGTCATTTTGAAATCACAGGAAGATGTTTGCATGGATAAATCATTACTCATAGACTGGTATGAAAATTACTTCAAGCCAATTGTACGGGATTACCAACAAAATATGCAAATTAGTGGGAAAGTTATTTTATTGTTAGAGGATTGTGAAGAACATAGAATTCCATTAAAATATCAAGACGACAATCATTTCAAAATTATATATCTTCCACCCAACACAGCCTCACTTATACAACCTGTACACCAAGGGATAATAGAGAAAACTAAGATACTTTTCCGCCACAAAATGTTACAGAGTATTTTAAAACACGAGGGAGGGATCAGAGGATTTTATGAAGACTATTCTCTTAATGATTGTATAAATTTATTGCATAATTCATGGAACGAAATAACATCTGAAAATGTAAGAAATGCTTGGAGTGAAATTATTAAACTACGAAATTCTGAAGAAATTGAAGAAAGAGATCCACTTGAACGTGATCTGCAAGACATGATCAGCAGCATTACTGGAAATATATCCACGGAAGAACACATTACAGAATTTTTGTCAGCATGCGAGGAAGCAGAAAGTAACTATTTCATCCAGAAAGAAGAGGTTCAGGAAGAAGATGACGAAAATAAAGAATATACTGATGACAATATGGATGAAGAAGGTGATGAAGATAAAGAAAATAATGATGACAATAAGGTTGAAGAAGGTGACGAAGATAAAGAAAATAGTGATGACAATAAGGATGAAGAAGGTGACGAAGATAAAGAAAATGATGACAATAAGGATGAAGAAGGTGACGAAGATAAAGAAAGTAATGACGACAATATGGATGTAAACGACTTTGAAGAACAGAAGGAAATAATTGAACCAAGATACCAAGATAATGACAAGGAAGAATTAAAATATATATTTGAACGTTTAATGTTCTATGGTGAAAAAGCACCACGTTATATACAGCTAATGATCGAAGGTTTAAGACAATTTTTCTTAGATAACACAAACGAGATCCCAAAATACACCCTTACTGTTCGGAAAGATTTGTACCCTAAATCTTAAATGTTTAAGATTTAGGGTTTAATCCTACTACTGGGGGGTTCTTCCGTAGAACCAGTCAAGTGAGTAATGTATATACAGTGCCATCCTCTCACTGCAGTACTGGAAAGGCATACTGCCTGCTTTGTTGGTTCTTGTTTGGTCCCTCTTACACAGATAGATTGCTCAGCAGGGGTCGCTGGCAGCTCTTAAACGACAAAGCAGGGGCATACCTTTCCAATACTGCAGCAAGAAGATAGTACTGTATACAACACGCAAGGGGCTTCCCTTTTGCGAGCGCAAAACTAAGTTGGAAGCCAAAAAAAGATTAATTCTCGAAAGACAGACCCGTGAAAGACGGAGTCGAGTTATTTTTGAACTGTATTGAAATCTCGATTAATTGTAGGCTTAAACTCTGAAAGAATTAACAGCCTTCATTAGTAAGAAAACATTAATGGAATTATTCAAACTATTTTGGATTATTTTATCAAAATCTTATTTAAATAGTGATGAAATTTTTTTATTAAAATGAGACCAAACGCGATACTATTTGGATCATGTATTTACTTACTTCATAAGTATTAAGTCATTTTCTTTCATTATTGCTTCCGAGAAATTATATAAACGAGCTGTTAGCGACAGTGAAAATAATAATAGTTTAGTATTTCTAGTATGTTATAAATTAGAGTACTGCGAAGTATACTAAATTAATATTTTAAGTTATTTATAAGAATAATTATTTTGGGTTGCAATTGCAATAATACGACGTATCTAATCATAAATCATAACACATTTGTAATTTATTGAAAAATTACGTGCATTACCGAATAATGTATTGTAAAAATCGTATGTGATCGTTTTCTATCTTTCATGGGTCCTTCTAGTATAGACACGCACTAAATAACAAATAACATACATAAATTATTTTAGCGGTAATTAATATTCAGGTACATTATAAATTTACTATTGTATAAGATATTTATTCTGAATAATGTGATGTTCTTATATACCGTATGGAAGTTTAAATATGTATGTATGTAATGTACATATAAATATAAGTCTGTACTAGATGGCCAGCTAAAATCTTTAAAATTTTAAATTGATAAAGGATCGATCATGCATGAGTATACAAGTATACTCCGAACTCCAATCAGTTTTGGCATCGTGTATCATGTACATTTCTATTTATAAGAATATTTGATAAATTGTTTATCAAAAATACACTTCATGTACCTTTCCGATCATACCTTGAAATCCGTAATAAAGTGCATGAAGTAAAAATATATGATGCTATTATAATGAAAAATGCTAACATTGAAATCTCTAAAAATACAAATTTTATAAAATAAATGTCATTGAATTCCTCATATTTAATAAAACGGCCTTTCAAAAGATTATTTTAATGTACAATAGAAAGAAGAAATATACGATTTTGTATGTTGCATGAAAAGTCCAGAAGATTGCGCGCGTTGAATTGCGTATTCTAAATAGAGGGAAGAGTTCGGTTTTGTGATTTAAAACGTTTATTTCTTGATGCTTTGTTATTTGAGAAATTACCCATGCACGGTCTGATCTGGAAAGGTTTAAAACAGTGAGTAGAATACGGAGGAATTGAACATTACGCATGTCGTATTAAATTTTATAATTAAAATTAAATAAATGTGCATTAACCTTAATACGTACGTTTGACGTAAAAGAAACTGTACAACACGTTTTCCTACTAATTGATTTTATGAAATGTCAAAGAGTATTTGAATGACATTCGACACGCTAAATGATGTATTTGATAGTAATCATTTGTTAACACGAAAATTTTATTTGCGATCTGATTAGTAAGGCCATTGATAAGTTTGTTTTAAATAAATAATATTTGACATTTCATGAATGAAACTGATGTAATCTTAGTTGTATGATCGAAGCATAAATACTATTATTTGATCTTAAAATAATATCGTAGGTTTCATTCAAGGAAGCTGTTGATGACTAGCCAAACAGAATTGAAGTGCACTTACATAGGGTCATCTGTAATAAGAAACATCACACAGATTGCTATGTTAGATGAGGAGAAAGTTTTTGCAGTTGACATGGTACAGCCAGAATTACATACATTGTCTTGGTTGTATAAGGCTGCTCCTTGTTTCCCTGTAAATGGGTCTAAGGTAGAAACATCAATATAATATATTGAAATTACAGATATTTCAATGATTGTTTGTTTCAGATTAAGATAATTCACGAGCCGAGCATATTTTATTCAACTCTTCTAGAAAAATGTAAAAATGCAACAAGAAGAATAACATTTGCATCATTGTACTTAGGTACTGGGAGACTAGAATCAGATTTAGTAAGAATTCTTAATAGATGATAATGCGTCATAGTAACAAAGATCGTAATGAAAAAAAATTAATTCCTTTAATGTATAGGTACAAGCTATAGGTCAGGCTTTAACTCTAAGTAATGGTAATGTTGAAGTTAAACTTCTGTTAGATTTCATGAGAGGTTCTAGAGGTAAATTAAATTCGTGTAAAATGTTAGAGCCATTGCTTAACAGTAAATATGGTCATTGCTGTCAGATATTTCTGTACCACACCCCTAAGCTACGAGGCTTGTTAAAGATGATAATGCCAGATCGCTTCAATGAATTAGTAGGTTTACAACATATGAAATTATATTTGGTAGACAATGATTTAATAATTAGTGGGTGAGTATTCAAATTTTTCATTTTACATAAGAGTATTTAAATATATACAAATTGACAAACAATATTAATTCTTTCTAGTGCTAATCTTAGCAACGATTATTTCACAAATAGACAAGATCGTTATTTTGTAATTGAGGATTGCAAAGAACTTTGTGATTTTTATAATGAGTTAGTTGAAAAAGTAGGAGAATTCAGTTTTCTGCTTCAACCAGATGGAACCACAGTATTAAATTCCACCACAAATGTTCATCCCCTTAAAGATAAATCATTAAAATTCATTGAAAACGCTGCAGATAGTGTGAAATCTCTTTTCCAAAGGGAATTAGAAAAATGTTCCAACGTTGAAAAACTAGGTATATAAATACATATTTATTTTAGTTATATATGTATAAATGATTTGAAAGAAAAATTTTAATTAGAGTTGTCTCGATAGGAAAAGATTCAAACGCAGATACGTGGATCTTCCCTTTGATACAAATGGGTCAGTTAAACATTTATCATGATAGTCAAATAACATTAAAACTCTTACAAACGACACCACCAGGTACAACGCTTAGACTAGCAACAGGTTATTTTAATTTAACTTCTGAATACAGTGATGCGTTACTTAAAAACTGCCAAGGAACATGTCATCTTTTAACAGCACATCCAACTGCTAATGGCTTTTTCTGTAAGTTGAAATTATACAGACAGAATAAAATTTTCTTGATCAATTGACAAATTTAAAATAAATATCGTGTTTAGCTGCAAAAGGAGTTGCTGGAGGAATTCCAGCAGCCTATACAAAAATAGAGGAATCATTTATCAAACGTTGCAATAATATGAGACAACAAAAAAGGGTGACTTTGTGGGAATTTATTAGACCAGGATGGACATACCATGCGAAAGGATTATGGTATTCTTTACCGGGTCAAGAGAAACCTAGCCTTACGCTTATTGGATCTCCGAATTTCGGTAAATCTTCGAGTTTCATAAACGTAAAGTTACAAAATAATTATAAACAAATACTAATTTCAGGTTACAGATCAGTCAGCAAAGATTTAGAGACTCAGATTGCTGTGGTGACAAAAAATGAAAAGCTGCAGACTGAATTGCAAAAAGAACACGAACGGTTGTTTTCATGTGCGAAGCCAGTAACAAAAAAAACGTTTACCGAGCACGATAGAGTTCCGCCGACTTGGGTATGTGTCGCGGTCGTTCTATTTCGATATTATTTCTAAAGTAATACTTTGAACCCGTGGAATGTCTACCGTACATAATTTAGGTCATATATAACTTGTACAAAAATGAAATTAATTTATACAAATTCTTTTCGATGGACACAGTAATGTGTTCATTCTACAAAATAAACATGTAAATAAGAACAAATTGATCGTGTTTTAATGTACATAGTTTCGTTATTTATGTAATGTACAGTATGTTTAAAATTAGTAAGAAAATATAAATAAGAAAATCTAGTCTCCCTTTCAATTATAAATAAAATCGATTGAATGTATCAAACAAATATGGGTTCGATAAATAAAAAGTACGTTATTCTGTGGTTATACTGGTAATAATTATTTTCTGATTGACATACTATCCTGTATGGAACGTGATAAAACTTTATGGTACTATGATTGCGACGTTTTATACCAAATGTCTTTGCGACGGAAACGATTCCAATTAGGGTGCAAAAGTAATATAAAAGAAACTGTTCATAACCACTTAGAATAGTCATTGTCCACTATTGAGAGTCACAGTTATTGTGACTCCGGAAGATTATTGTTTCGATGACACTTTACACAAATGATTGAATCGGTTTTGCACTAGAGATTTCCAAAAATGGCAGACAGGAAAATTTCTTCCACAAAGTTTTATTTGTCGTCGATAACGAATGTCTCTTCCTTGACGAAAAATTCGATTACTTCCTCCTCTACGTTCTTCGAATCAGAATCTAATTCATCTGTATCAATATCTGAAAAAAAAAGAAACCGTTTCAATATTACAGTTCTAAATAGTTCAAACTTAAAACAAAAAAAAATTACTTATATACATACTTTTACGTAATTCTAAACGTCGCTTCTTCTGGTTATTATACTCTTCGATACGTTTCGAACGATATTCTTCAAATGACTTCATGGCTGCGCATCGTTTCTCAATTAATTCCTACAAAACGATTTTATTTATTAGCATCTGCATTGCATTCATTTTGAATGTATACCATTTTAAATTAATAGAAGTACCTTCGAGGCACGTGTTAATCGCATACGATCTTTGCTCTCGAATTGAGCAGAATATTTCTTCAAGTTCTTTTTGATTTCTTTAATTTGTTCGAGCGTCAACAACGTCGGCGGTCTCGGTCGCCATAATAACTGATTAAACTGGTTAAGATTCACTCTCTTTAAGATGCGTCCTTGAAACGTCCATATCCAATATCCATTATCAACCCCAGTCTTCCAGCTAGAAACGGCTGTTACAACGTACCTGTAACAGAGTAGATGTTTAAGTAATTTTTATTATGTAATTTATTTAAATATTACGCCCATTCTTACTATCATTTAATAGAAGTCTGAAGCAATATCGTGGAAAAACGAATATAAAAATATGTGTATTCTCACCGTCCGGTAGGGTCCCATTCCACGTCTGAAGTCTGATAATGGTCAGTTGAGTTCATAATAGTAAAATCGTTAGTGTCAATAAACTCCAAAGCTCCTGCCATGGTTGTCAATCCCGCGAGGACAATAAATTGTCCGGACGGTGACCAGAACAAGTGGTTGCAAGCTTTTTTCTCAAATTTCTCTGTTAGAAAAAAGAAATATTACTTATATTGTATAGTTTATTACATTATATATTTATCGAGACTTACTTAAAAGAGCAGGTTGATGACCAAACCGCACTTCATAGAAACTGACATTAACGCTTGGAATCTCTCCATGAATAATAGCAAATTTGCTTCCAATAGGTTCCCAGGCAAACGCGTGAATTGGTTCCTTTATTTCTACACTGTCTACCGGAATTTGTTTTTCTCGCATGTGGAAGATTTCAAAGTTGTACGACATACCCTGTTAATAAGAATACAGAAACGATTACACACACAATGTACATACTTTTTATTACATACTTTTTAAACATTTGTCGAATAAATACCGTGTACTTCTGTTCCGTCTTTTCCTTACGTTTGGCAAAACGATCTACTTTCACGCAAAGATAATCTCCTGACTTTTGCCAATAAATCTTGCAGTCGGCTACGTTAAACAAATTTTTGTTACGTATTTCATTACGACTGAAATAACGTAATAATTAATATTTGTGTAATAAATCGAATGCACAGTAGATCTGTTAAATTTATTACTTTGGAATTTCAAGAAGAGTAACTCGAGCCGGAACATCTTTATCTTCTGGTACCCAGTAGGCAAGAATGTTGTCTGTTGGAGACCAACTAAAATCTCTGATTCCAGGGATCTTTATACTCTTCTTATCCAGTAATCCAAACGACTGAACATTTATAACGAGTTTACGTTTAGAAAATTTTTAATAACTGTATTATGTTGTGTACAGCATTTGAAAAAAAAAGAACCATACCGGTGTTTCATAAACACTTAAAATATCTTCTCCCATACGAGCAAGATATTTATCATCATGCGACCAACGGAAAATCGGCCACACAGAAGAACCGTCCGCGTGAAACGAACGTTTTTCTTGAACGGTTAGAATATCCCAGATTACAAGTCGCTTCTGATCAGAGCCGAGATCAGTTCGAGGAGTATAAGTTACTAGGTAACGTTCGCCAGGCGAGAAATCAATGCATTCGACACCTTTCTGACCGAATTTTGCTTGTTGCAAAAACTGAGGGCCACCCCATAATGCAACACCTGGTTTGTGAAATGTTGCCAAATATGTTCCCAGAGGAGACCATTTAACATAAGTCTCTGTCCAACGCTGTTGGAAGTAAGTAATGATTAAATATGATGTAAATAAAAAAATTCGCATTACCTACTTACGGAACGTTCTTCGAGTAATGTCGATTCAGGGGCAGAATTCTGCCAAACCTGAACAGTGACAGAGGGGCCATTTCCGCAAAGAACACAAAACTGATCATAAGCGTCTGGTTCTAAGAGATAATAATGTAAATCTGTGGCAGCTTTGAATGGTTGTGGTTTTGGTGGTTCCCATTCCTCTGAGATCTCTTTAAATTTCTTGAAGTCAGTAAACAAATTTACTTTAAATGTGTGTTGTTTGTCAATTTTGTAATTATTTACAGTTTGAGCAGCTGTTAAGGCATTCAGAGGATTATTATATTCTAGAAATATATACCTATAAAAAAATAAAACGTACAATATCTTATCTAGTTACAGAAACATAAAATGATTTTCAATGAATTATATTGTTGCCAAGATTAATCTTCCATTTGTATACAGATAAACATTATCCTTGTTTATCCTACTATAACTGTTCGAATGGAACTAATCTTGTCACGTATTTTTATTCTTTTAGTTACAAGTTGAAATAGAACTATATATCTTCAATGTACTTTAAATAAAATCAATTACTTATGTTTCTTGATATATTTCTATATAAAACCGTCTAATCTAATGACAACATAATCCACAGAAAAATATTATGAAATCAGGCTTCAGAGAGAAAACACACCCTTTTGTATATCCATTCTCATGTTTGGGATAATGTTGGTTTACTACTGTGCCAAATTTTCCTAAGACTCTGCTAATTACAGACTGAAGTTTTTCCAATCTTTCTGGTTCAACCTGAGGAACTCCGTCAATAACAATCACCGATTCCACTCCATCTGTCTCTGAGGGTTTTTGCTTTAATATGTCGCCTAGAAGTTCTATAATCATACAAAATACGAATACTTATTTTTTATTGTCGATAATCTATCACGAGTAGTTTCTGTATGGCATATATGTCAAATTTCAATGAATTCTTCTAAAATACTAATAAAGAACTCGTGAGTGTAAAGGTTATGTCGCGTGCCACATTTGCGAGAGTATACGTAGCCATGCCTTCAGTCATTGTACCGCAACTTGTATCCAGTGTCATACACGAAAAATTTGATTTACCTTCGTCGGTGATATCGTCGACAAATCCTTCGGAATCACTAAAATTTGGCTCTTCATCGTCGTTCAATATATCTTCATTATTTTTCACGGAATCTTCGTTTTGAGGCGTTTTATCCGCCAACGTTTTCTTCGCCATGTTGGAAACCTCTGAGCGCACGAAGCGAAAGTGGCAACGAGTTATCCACTTGCATTTGATGCACAACCTATGATAGGTGGAAGTGGTCAAAGTTACGTTTATGGTTCAATTTGGTTTGTAATAAACGATCATAAACGATACCACTCGATGTTATCGTTAACACTTATTGCATTAATCATTATCAATAATTTCATTTGTGCAAGTTTGTACATGATTAATTATAAAATTCCTGTAGGTAACACCAACATACGAATTTGCGGCATTACTATTATTGCTAACTAATGACAAATTCTTGATCCTTAAAAAAAACATACTCAATATGATTTGTAAATGAATTCTAGATTACTATTGCGGTTTTAAAAGTGAGTAGAAAGGAAGAAATTATAAAAGAATGATTTGTTATAATTATACAACATTTTATACATATGGATTACAATTTATAATCATTAATCTATTCATTATTTTTCATTGTTCCTCATTATTCCTTCACTTTATACGTTGCGAGTCGCATTTTTGTTTTGATGTCGTTGATATGAAATACAAGTTATATGATGCATGCAAGGATTGTTATGTTCTCCACTAATCAGAATTGATTATGAGAAATCAGTGATCAAATCATTTGTGACTTGATTCCGAAATAGCAGTTCATACAATTTCTACTCTACACTAACTGGGGAGCGAACTCATAGCATGTCTATGAGTAGAAGCTAGTTTATTGCAGCATAAAAACATAAGACATATTGTATAATAGACTATGCGGCAGTTTTATGGTACGGCTAAAGTCGAGACCGAAGGACAGAAGTAGCACCGGAGTAAGCTTAGAATTGATTAAAAGTTAAGCTGCTGCTGTGGTCAAGGAATACGAATTGTTTAAATAGTAATATTATTATCGCTTGAATAACTGTATGTACAGATGTGTTTTGCAGGTGAAAGTGGGATAAAGTTAGAATTACAATTCTTTTTTTTTTTTTTATTTAAAACATACTTATTAAAGTATTATATGTTTGTTTAATCTTCTTCTTCCTCTGGAGCAGCTCCACCACTTCCCTTACGTAGGTTCTTCCTCTTTACGCGGCCAGGTCTGCCACCACCAAATGGAGATTTCAGTGAGAAATCAATGTGCTTTTGTGAATCTAAACGGACGATGAAGGATGGAATGTTCACCACCTGTTTTCGCACTCTGTAACAAGATATATTATTTCTAATTCCATTCCTATACTTATTAACGGAAATACTTTTCAGTTGCTAGTACATCACTGTGAAGTTGTTTTAATGCTCAAAGAATATACCAATTATTATTAAGATATATGAATCCTTTAGTACAATGACAGACGTTAAGTGCCAGTTTCCTAACACTTAAGTGGCCTGCCTGAAACAAAAACAGCTCTCAACATTAACACCATAATTGTCCATCCATATTTAAAGTCGCAGTTTCGTAAACATTTTGGTCTTTCAAACGGGAAAATTGTTTGGATACCTGCAGTAGTCAAAAGACTATTATTTTCAAAGTGTACGAATAATCAGGACACAGTGATACTAAGAATAAATGTTAATTTTGAAACATGTCTCCTGGTCATGAAACCAAAATAGTATCAATTAATTCTAATCTGGTGATTATCCAGGATTTTAATATTGCCTTAAAGATTAGAAACAATCTGCATGGAATCAGATATTTCTTGCCCATTTATTAAGGCATACAAAACCTCTGCATCTAACAAAACCTACCGAATGTGACGTTGACGAATGAGTACACGTGCATGATGAATAGACTTAGCAAGACCCAATTTGAATACTTGGGTTTGAAGACGCCTCTCTAAGAAATCTTCAATCTTCAAACCAAGCACATAATCAAGCTTCATGCGGCTCTCGTCCAATACACCAATTCTCACCAAACGACGCAACAGGGCATTACCTAATAATTGGAAACTTCAGTAAAAGAAAAGAAGAAGTACAAAATATAAATACTAATTTTCTATCATTACTCAGTGTAAACAATATGTCCTCAAAATTTTAGGACAAGAGGTGTCAGATATGCTACTCATCATCTATTTAATCTAAAGTTGACGATCGTACCGAAAAAGTTATAAAAAATTTGAACTGAATATGAGTTCAATTAAGCTGACGTGTTATTGTAGATTATAAGGTTGTTATAAGTTACTCAAGAAATACCTTCGAATAGACGTTTGGGGTCCTTCTCTTCCAGAGTAAGTAGCTCACGAGCGGCTTTTCTGATATTTGCCAAAGTGTACTTAACTCTCCATACTTCACGTTTGTTACGAAGACCATATTCACCGATAATTCGTAATTCTTGGTCTAAACGAGCCTTTTCATAAGGTCTTCTGGGTGTAACATAAGTCTTCGAGAAGACTGACGGAATTCGTCCGTTTACCATTTTGTACAGCCGTTACCTACAGAAGATATAACCGTCTAATAAAACTAGGATAGGCGAGACAAAATTATTGAACATATTGCAATACCCAATTCGGCAATAGCGATGTGACAAAAATATTTCATTTTATTAAGCTCATTTATTATTCAACATACTTCCGCTAATTGAAATTATTATAATATAGTGAGTTTATTGAAATTGAATAAAAAGTAACCTTTTCTTAACACGTGGTGTAGACGAAGTGTTTCATTTATACTAGTAAAATTACAATGAAAAACAGAAAAGTATTGTTCTAATTTAAATCTTCTTCGAGTTAATTGCAATTTTTAATACTTTAATTGATATAAGTTCAATATTATAGAGCAATTAAATTAAATATTTTACTTACTCAACCGGACGAGTATGCGACTGCACACCGTTCCGAATGGAAAAGAAATGGCCGATTCAGCCAAATCCCTCCTGCGGAAACTAGGCGTGAACGAATGCAGCGCCGAAACCGGAAATTCAAACCATTTCAAGATGCACGTTACATATTTTGAAAGTATTATGTATTGCAGTTCTAATGTCTCTTTTTTAAAAATGTTCATAAAAAGTTTTATTTTATAGTTTTAATAAAACCACATGTGTTTTCAAAAACATGAGGGTAAACATGAAAAACAGGTAAACATGATATCTGACAGTGCGTAATGTAAATACATATTATTATAGATAATGAAAACACTAAAATAAATATAAAGCTAAATGCAACATCAAGGAATCTACTATTTCTTTTTATCGAATTTTGTTTCTTTTTAAGTAAATTGAACTGCCATATTTAAAAAGCAAAAAAATAAGAGTACGGTCTTCTAATTATAAAATTGTATTATCGGTTTATTGAAACAAATAATACATTACGTATTGCAGTCTCTGCTTATTGATAGACCTAATTAAACTTAATATAACAGATTTAAAAAGAAGCACTCGTTTCCGTTGTAGATTTTCCTTGAGAGTATATTCGAATTTGTATAGTTCAATTCTGGAACTGTAGCATCCAATTATCTGCTAGCAAATATATAGTTTTATATATCAGATATATAAATTGCTTGAAATAACATGATATTTGTATCTATTTTAAAGTTCACTATTTTGAATAGCACTTTAAGTACTTCTATTTCAGGCATTATCTATTCCCTTGATAACACAATATGGATACCATCTGTGTATTCAACCATGTATTTTTACATGGTCATAAAGAAAATGGATCTACTGTGATTTTCTGAGTTTTGCTGTGACCGATTTCTTAGTTTTTTAGTTGTGAAGTACAACTGCAGATTTGGGGTAAACAATACGTCATTGAATACATGCGATTATACGCATATCATCGACAAACATCAAAGGCAAATTAATCTGAAACACAATGACTCTTTAGTATTTGATAACGGAAAACTTTATCAGTCGTATGATTATTGACACTTCTGCGTCATTCAATAGTGTTGATGATATTTTTGTGTTATTGATACGTATGAACGTGTGTTTGTGCAATGATATATTCATATTTATTGTTTAAGAACAATAAATAGACGTTATAGTTGTAAAAAATAAAAGTGATTACGTGAGAAACGAAGTACCTATAATTTTTTCAATTTTAGATTTTTCTTTCTAACCTACCACGACATATCTATTATATTTATATATATTGGTATTAATTTTTTAAATTAATCATAAGTAGGTATTTTATTATTGTAAGACATTTTTAGCTATATTTGTACACAGTCATTTGTATTTTAATCATTTTATTACACAATAAACTATTTAAATAGTTGTATATTAGTGCAGAAAAATATCCTTTTAGATTCCACTATCGTTAGATAGAACATGTAATGGAGTAAGTCACGTTTGATATTAAGTCACGTTTAATTCACGTTTCAGTTTGATAGTCTTGAACTTTTTACTCGAGCATGTTTTGATATGCAGGGTTATTCTGTTGACCCCGAAAGTGGTGAAACGCAGATAAGAGAAGATGTAAGTAGCTGTCACGTTTTCAATGTATTCAGTATCTTAGTGACACCAAAGGAAGCATTAAGGAAAGTTTAGTTAAGTCTCGTGATTTACTAAGAAATAGTTTAGTTTATTGCACTTGCAAATATATTTATTTTCCAAGCTTCCAGTACATTTTGTACTGTCATGGAGGCTGTGGGAACTGTAAGTACCTCAGCCTTTATATGTATTTTCAAGTATAAATTTCTTGAATTGTATATATATAATTTACTTGGATCTTATGTATATAATAATGTATATATATTTTTGCAATAAGTTTTTTTAAGATAAATGATATAAATACTATATTTTATTTAATAATAATTGTATCAGAAATTATTATATTGTAATAAAATCATGTGTAGTATTTTGCTTTCCTTAATTGTTTGGGTGATACAGATGTACTAGAATTGGAATGTTAATTGCATTAAATACAATTTATTTTTCATGATAGAACATTAAAAATCAAAATAATTTAAATATTTCCATAAAAAAACCCTCTAATTATAAGAGGTATGCAGGGTGGGAGATGATAAATGTTGAACTGTATTCACTATTTAGTGTCTTGTGTGTTTTTGGCATTATGAGTTTGCGAATATGATGCTCCACACTTACATGTACAAGCTGAAAAAGAAAATAAAAAATTATCTATTCTACGATTATTATATACATGACATTATTAAAAAATTAAAAGCATTTACAATTTGACCATGTCTGAATTTGAAAATTGAGCAACTTTTATATTTAAGCATAGTTAAGTTTTTAGTTATAGTTGTCATGATACAATGCTATAATGAATAATTATATAATTAAATATAACAAAATTTTTCCATATAACATAGGTATGGCTTATGATGCATTACATGTTATTGATAACACTTCAGAACTAGCACATGCAATTAGTATATCATGCTCTTAAAAAGACGAAAATTGTTCTCATAATTAATGATAACCCATGGAACTTTATTCTCGAGATAATAACTATATTGACCTCTTGAAGGAAATTTATAACTCACGTGAGCAAACTCGTGCAAGATAGTATGCAATGAGATGTATCATTGCAATGACAGTCACTGATATATTCATATCTACATATTTTATTACAATGTAATCATTACCTAGAAAATTTATCTATTGAAATACTGTATAGACGAAGTAGAATCCAATAAGCAAATGTTTTCTACTCTTTCAGTACCCTATTTTGAAGTCTTTTCTCGCTGGATCAGTGTCTGGAACATTTTCAACTATTTTGTTTCAACCATTAGATCTTATTAAAACAAGACTTCAAAGTAGAGTGAACCTTCATCTTGAGTAAGTAAAAAATAATGGATTTTCAAGTTTTCAATCATTTTATACTAAATTGATGTTACAACATTCTTTTCAATTAGTACTCCAAAAAGTGGAACAATCGGAACTGTAATCCAAATAATCAAAAAAGAAAATGTGTTTGGACTTTGGAGGGGTATAACACCGGTAAGAATTTAGTAGTTACTACATTCAAGCACATTGGAGAATAGAACTTATTGAAAATTATTTTTTTTTTCTAGTCCATAACCAGAGTTATTCCTGGTGTTGGATTATATTTTTCATCGTTACATTGGTTGAAACACACATTCCATTTAAAAGATCCACTCACACCTACAGAAGCCATGTTATTAGGCATTACAGCAAGGTCTATGTCCGGAGGTTTATTAATTCCAATAACAGTAGTGAAAACACGTTTTGAAGTAAGCATAATTACATCATTACCTTCTTTCTATTTTTGATAATGAACTGAACGAACACCATAATTTATTAAATAAAGATTGCATGAAAATGAAATATTTATCAATTATTTCATGTTATAGAGCGAGGTTTATAGATATAATAGTATAAGGGAAGCATTGAAATTAATTTACAAGCAAGAGGGTGTGAGAGGTCTTTCGAGCGGATTAATACCAACGTTATTAAGAGACGCTCCGTTTAGTGGTCTTTATCTTATGTTTTATACCCGATTTAAAAGTATCGTCGTGGAAGCAGGTAATTTGTATTAAAATGCTAAGTAAATTTCTACATAAGGTTTACAGCAAATAATATTTATTTCCAGATTTACCGTGCGCCAAATCATCGGCCCCAATTCATTTCAGTTGTGGAATACTAGCAGGAATATTTGCTTCCATTGTGACACAACCTGCCGATGTGATTAAAACAAAAATGCAATTATATCCAGACGAGTTCAAAGACGTTCGCAGTGCAATATTTAGGGTTTATAAAAAATACGGTGCGTTAGGATATTTCAAAGGTATCGTTCCACGAATGTTAAGAAGGACATTAGTGACTGCCATGGCTTGGACTGTATACGAAGAGGTAGAACAATGTTTCTCGAATGTTTCGTTTTTATTGTTAAGACAATTCTAAAACAGATCACACTAATTAAACAATGTATTATTTGTAGGTTACAAAAAGTATGGGGCTTAAGTAAAATTGATTCTATTCAATGATAGACCGATTGCTTGGTATTTGTCTACATGGAATTGGATAGAAGTAAACACCATACACATCAAATTAAAAGGTTATTCAACCAAATATTTACACTTGATGTACAGTATTTTAGTTTGTATAAAGATTTGATTATAGCAGACAATTGTATTATAGCAAATATTACTATGTACAGTATTTGGATAGAGTATATCCTATCGCTTGATAATGTATTACTGATGTACATACTTATTTAATAAATTATACAGTTTCTTGAATATTGTACAATGTCATACAATCTTACCGATTCATTTATAATCATTGGGTTTTAATTATTTTAGAAGTATTTGTACGTATTTAAAAAAAAAAATAACCTAATGCTTTCATTGCAGTACTGTTTTATTAATTTCAATTAACAATCTCACGAGTATTACAATGCAAATTATAGACAATTTACCTTGATGTCTTTGTTTTAATATGTATATACAGATAGCCTAAAAGTAACATTTGCATCAAATATGAATAAACTGCTAATAAATCTGCTTTAAACATACTTCCGATGTGTGTAACACGTCGTTTACAACGGTAATTAAGAAACGAACTTCATGGAATTTATTTTCCGTAATTAATTTAAAAACAGCGCGATGTGATGGAAAGTAACTCAGGCGCAATTGTATAAAAATCACGATTCGGTTTGAATTTGTAGATTATGCAAAATCTTTACCTTAATATTACATTAAGCAGTGTGCAAGTGAGCCTGTTGTATTGGTTACATCCCCATGGTATGTCTTCTTTCGTCTGAAAATAGACAACACATCTTTTAGAAATTGTGTTTCCAGTACTCTTTTTCTTATATTAATTTTGATTATTACCAAACACCTAGATAATGTGTATCTGTATATTATTTGTTAACTTTGCCTTAATATACGAAATAATTAAAAAAAAAAAAAAAATATCATACTTCTGTCGGCTACATGTGTGGAAAAGCAGACAATAAATTATAAACGATCATCTTCGATTGTAACATTGGAAACAGAAAGAATAACTGTCACAGTCAGTAAAAGATTCAAATAATTTAACTTCAGTAATATTCTTATCAATAATAATTTGACACTTAATGATTAATGTAGAAATTGTTGTAAGAAATGACAAGTTGAAAGTGATGTAGAAATTTTTTAAAGTAGTTTTTATGACAAAATTATGTTTTATATTGGGAATAGTATGTATAATGGAATAAATGTAACGAAATAATGAAAAAATATTCTTCCAATTGAAGTATTACAAGCACCAATGATTGTCTTTCAGGAGTAAGATTTCTTTCATCCCAATGTAACAATATAAGACGAGTTTTTGTTGAAAGCTATTATTTTTGTATTCTGTTTTGTATATCTAGTTGTTCCAAAAAGCAGATTGTTTAATGTGTGAACGATTTATTATGAGCAAACACGAATCGCACAAATGTAGTACGGGCATAAAGTATGAATCTTCTATCAAGCCGAAATGAAGGACACGGCGAAAACGAATGATATAAGATGCGATTTAAAAGGGATCTCCTCGGAGCATCATACATAATACATGATTCTATGTGACCTGTCATCTCAACCATCAAATCGATGTACAATGACGCTAAAAGATTATGATTTTCTAATTAGAAAATTACACTGAACTTCGTCCATGTCCTGTCTCTCAGAACGAAAAATAACGGAGAAAAATGCATGCAAAGGGAAGAACAATGTTCTGCATGATACATGATAAAATATTTCATGAACTTTTATGAATAAAGTTCCGAAGAATACACAGTTACTGATTTGCGACTATATGCCAACTTATAAGCCCAATTTATTCGTTGTTTCATCAATCATAGCCGGACGGCTGTTATTTTGAATGCGGTATTATATCATCTGGACTATACACGTGGATTCATTGTTCCAAATTGAATTATTAAAATTGTTCGATTGGACCTACATAACGTAACTTCCCTCACTAATTAGTAGATAGATTGCTCGTCTTTTAAACTGAATATGCTTCAATAAATTGCAATTTAGGGAATAAGGAAAGTAAGAGCAGGAGTTTGTTATCGTAATTTTAAGCGCTCGAGTATCGCTCCAAAATAAAGATCACAGTTTATCAAAATGTCTAAACTTCCTAATAAAAGGACATGTTTGGTATTATCATTCCGATATAAATACCTCAGAAATGCGTAGTAGAAGCTAGGATTGTATAGTCACAGTCACACAGGGCACTGCTGTGGCAGGTCTACGGAAGTAGGCACTGTTTCCTCCACTAAACCACTAATTTCTTTTCGATAAAAAAAGCTATTCAGTCGTTGAAATTATATAATTGATTTACCCTATGAAGACATTAGACCGATCAAAGCAAGCATAGGTATACCTTCTCCTATCTTGCTCTGTAGACAATATCTATAATACTACATGATAAAAATACCTTTCGTATGGGAACGACTTTTACTACTCCTTGCTCGACATTACCTCGATGCACCTTTTTTTCAGTGCAATGTTACATAGAGCAAGCTCGTCACTTTGAAAATTAAACGCTGTACAATCAGGTCCATATGAAATTTAGTAAGAGTGTTTCTCCGATTAATTGGCAGGACCAGAGACTGGCTCGCTGTGACTATGCCATTCTTCAAAATTACAGATAATTATCATGTATAAATTATGTGCATCTAATGAAACTCACCTGGTAAAGAACCTGTACAGTAATTGAGACGAATATGGTATATTGTTTAGTGCATACCTGGCTTACTTCTCACTCACTAACCAAACAAGAGTAGTTACTTGTGACTTCGACTTCTAGATCGATGGCGGCGACGATTGTGATGACTCGAACTTCGATGATCACGGTTTCCTGAGAGGTTAATGTAGTTTTTAGTGATACGAACTTATTAACTATCATTGTATTTGATATTTACCTTTATCTCGATGACGTCGGTGATTATCATCATCTCGATGTCTATCGTGTTTATCTCTTGATCTGCTTCTACTTCTATGTCCAGAATTTCTAAATGCAGTTACCAATAAATAATTATTGCATTTTATGCTTGTATTTAACAAACTCCCTGTCTCTGTCTCCGTCTCGTCTTCGTCTATCAAGATCTTCATTAGCACGTGCTCTTTGTTTTCTATCTTCCTCTCTTCTTTGTTCTTTTTCATCTCTTGCTTTCTCGCGTTTACTCTGCAAAAGATATATTTTTAATATTAATATTTGAAATTGCTTAATTAACTGTATACAACTTTGATATTATAAATATCAAATTACCATAATTTCCTGAAGGGCACTTTTTAACCTGGCATATCCAACGTGTTGTTTACCCATTAAATGATCATCAATTCGTTGCTGAGCATCACCAACAATAAGAAATGCACCACATACATCGCATACCTCCATTTGTTTTTCTTGCGCAGCAGCCAATTCAGCAGTCTACAACGAAATTACCTTCGTTTTTATATATTCTTGTAATGATCGATTGCACCATGAATTATAATACTTACTTGATTATAGTGACTATTGTCATTAGATTTACGGAGTGTTTCTCGTTCCTCCTTTAATTGGTCACATAATCTCATTAGGCCTTGTGCTTGTTCCACATTGCCTTGTATACCACTTTGTTCTGCCTCTTCTACCAGTTTATTAATTTTCTCAGTTAACAGAGCAATCTGTTCTTCATTTCTTTGAGTTTGCGCTGGTGTCAAAGTAGGCTAAATGAACATCAAACTTTCTTAATCTTTTCGTTACATTTGCAGTTGCAAAATATTACAAGAAAACCATTAAAATCTTCTAAGTCCAAGAAATTATTTCAAAATTGTTCTCACCGCTTCTGTTCTTCCAATAAGAGCCAACCGTTGCTTTCCCTTTATGATTTTTCTCTCAACCTCGTTCAGCATGCTCTGACAAAATCTAATAAATTCGTCCTCGTATTGTTGCTTTCTGTACGAGTATGGTGCTTTCTCAAACAATTCTCTGGCCTCATCGTCGTGTACCCGGGAACACGCACCCAAGTCAGCTCTTGTATTAACAAACAGATCGTGGGGGCAAAATTTCACTAAATACAATTTGCAAAACTGAAATAGAAAATAAACATTTTAAGATGGTGTTCGTCAACAGAAAATATGATAAACTTAAGTGGACACCACGAGCATTAGTTCTCGACGCGAACGAAGGTTCCAGGCTGTCCGTTCAGGGTTAACGATCACGCCGTCGAACAATTAATGTTTATCGGTGACGTACCTCCGGATCTTCCCAATTCAGTTCTTTAGGTTTTTCATTGGGAAGAACGTTTCGGTTTCTTCCCATAAGCTCGTCGAGTAGAGCAGCAGCAGCGGCAGCAGCCATGTTCCGAAATTTTTCCTGACCGAATGTCGTTTATCAAGGGTATACAACAGTGCCAGTAACGACTATTAGGCATACACCGTGGAAAATCTATTATTCAGTTCTCGTTGTTCACACAGAACGGGCAATAAGCGACGAAACCACGTAAATCGATTCAAACACGGAACAAATCCAAACGAACATTGAGAGACCGACGAACTGACGACACTACGTTCTAACCCCAGAAGTTTTTTACTTCTGAAAGCGGTAGTGTAGCAAACAATATGGCGGCGCCTTACACACCGAAACGTCGTAAATAGGAACTGTGAACATTCTAGATTTGCATTTGTTCGATTAAATGAAGAACGAATACTAAACAAAATTGCGACTTGTTATATATTTCTCTCTACTGTTTTTGTTTTTAATTTACGCACGGGTGGATACTTAGGAAGGATAAAATAGAAATAAGAACCCAATGTGATTCACATTGCGATGTTCTTTGCAACTGCACTTACTACGTTGTATAAAGCATAATATCCATTCCTTTTTTTATTAATAGATAAGTACATGTATCTAGATTCGATATTATTTCTCGATGAGAATTTAGAACTACATTGTTTAATTACGTTTAAGTTCTAACCTCTGTATTTGCAATACGCGTATAAACGTTTAAATGGTGATTTGACTGTTTCTCCGCTTACGCGCGCCACCTGTTCAAATTTTAATTATTGACAAACAAGTTCATATAAGTTCGCAGGCTTGATTGTAATTGCTTGTACGAATCAATACCATAATCTTCGATTATTTCGTAATATCCATGAAAGCCTAACGCGCTGTTAAAAATAACGCAATAACAATTTATTGGTCATCACTGTTACGCTAATATCGATTACGCATTACATGTTAGCATTACTCGCTTACAAACATCATTACAATTATCGCGGATCATTTGCGCCGGATACATTGGTATATAATTATCGGGCAAAATTTTACATAAACTCGGACAAATATAAATACTTCTTCGTGGTGCTGATCACTAATTGGGAAATGTTCGATCTCATTTCGATCCAAGGGATTCAACGGCGTTTCACGGATTAATGATGAATGAGAACATGGAATAATTTATATTCTACGATTAATTTCTATACCTACACAGCTATGTTCAAATAAATACAGCAAGTAATTTCCTCATTCGTTTTTGTTTTTCAATTTCGACGCGAGAATTACGATGGGATTCCAGCAAATATAGTTAACGATTTGATATATATGCAACGATGAGTATGGACGATGAATGATAATTATTTCAATTGATGCTGCCAATCAGGTATTATTACTCGTACTCCTCCTCGTCAGGTCGAACCTGAGGATACCTTCTCACGGGTTGATGCTGCGGCTGCGGGCGTCTGTTTTGAAGAGGAATGTTCACTTCCTCCGGGCTACGGAACACCTGGTTCAACGGTAAACGAAACTGTGGAAGACCCGTTGGCTGTGGACGAGCCGCGGCTGGAATACTGTTCAGTGCGGTTTGTGGGTTGGCATAGACCTGCGTAGAATTATTTTTATAATCATTTTATATATTTTTTCATCGTCAGGAGGATCGTTGTACGAATTTCGATAGTTGCAAAGGTAAAACCATACTCGTATCTTGTAAGTAGCCAGAAAATAATTACCTCAGCGATGTGTGGTAGTGTGGAGGAATCCAATAAGTATTGGAGGGAGGAAGATCAATGGACATGTACACTATGCAAGGAAGGGTTAAGGAATTTAAAGCATTGAGTAGAAGATTGCAGGGCGATGGATAATAAAAACATACGATTAGAAGAGATAGTGGAAGGAACAGAGTAATACAATGGTTAAGGAAACCAGAGACAAGGTGTCAGGCAGGAGTGAAATGAATAAAATACAAATGGTGGCTAAAAGTAGGTGGTAATTAAAGTTTAGGTATAAGTAATACGTTAGTATAGGTATAATTTAAATGTAAATTTGGGTGAGACAAATGATGGACGAATGGAAAGATTAAAAAAAAATGCATTTATCAATAGAGTCTCACCGGTGGCGATGGACGACGGATTGGCGGGGCGGTTGGTGTGATCTGATAGTCACCAACCTCGTGATCGTCAGCATGAATATCAGCGGGGAAGTATCTTTCACTGTATCTCAATGTTACATTCGGTTTTGTCTCGGCTTCCGCCAAGTTCAATGGTTTGTACAGATACTCGTTGACAAAGTGATACTGCGAGCTCTTCTTGCAATTAATGTCGCCGCTCGGTGGCATGCAGATCAGGTGAACCTGTAACAAGAAACGATAGTAAGCCTCTGAATACAGGAATCCTGTATACACGAACTTTATCGTAACTCAAATGAAATTCACAAATCTACGCAGACGCTTTATCAATCTAAAGAGCTAAATCTGAACCAGACGATAAAACAGATTTTCCAAATACTCATGTTTCGTGACAAACGTTCGAAGTTCGAGGTCCCAGGGTCCTCGAGGAGAAAGGAGTTCCGTGGTCCCGTTATTTTCATCTTTTCATCCGAGAAAACGGGCGTGGACTGATTATCCCGGAAACGTATAACGATAGCCCGCTATCAGGAAACCGATCGGGCGATTTATGATTGGCCTCGGCTGCCCCGTTCGGCTACACGGCAGACCGGAAGTGGCCGGGTGAAACCGTGAACGTAGGTATGTATATACGCGAGAGGTGAAATTTACTTATCAATGGCATTTGAGGTTGGCTAATTGTACCGGTGTAACGTGAAGTTTATTTTCGCGGGCGCTTTCACCAGACCGGGGGACCGTTTAAGAAAAAGGTTAGCGCTGGTGCGACCGTAGATCAGATCAGGTGCTTTAGCCAGGTAATTTACTACTTATTTATTTGTCTAGTCAGTTCCTTAAACGAAATTAATTTATCTCGAAGGATTAATCAGTAATGACGTATGGGGAGTCAAATCGAGGCCTACTGGGGAGAAGTTGAGGACAGGATATTGATGTTGGATGACCAACCTCCTGATTCACTGAAGACCCTAACTGATAAGTGCGAGTACGACATGATTTTTACTGATTCATTTGTTTTTGGACGCAGTAGCTGTACTACTGATAAGTAAAATTGTAAATTTGCATAAACATCCGCAGTTTAGTCATCACCTTCCTTTGCTTCTAGTTACTGACTCGACTAGTTCGATGAGGCATTCAACGGTGTTAACTCAAAGGACGTCGAGCGTGTTGAGAATTTTCGATCGATCGTTTACCTGATGGAACGTGAATCCCTCGGGACAGATCCAGGAATGCTTGGCGTTGTCCTGACAGTAATGGAATACCTCGCAGTTCAGATCCTCGTCGGCGTAATATCCGGTCTGTTTGTTCACGCAATCGAATTTACTCTGCGGCAGCAGAAGGGTCAGGCGATCGGGCTCCTCCTTTTCTTCCAATTCCTCAGCGTCGGCCTTCAACCGTAAAGTACATCCAGAGTTAAATGATACATTTCTAATAACTTCGCCAGCGAAAATTGGTTCGACCGCAAAACGATGATTACTTAATTTCTATGGTCGTGTCGGGGATCGTAATTATTCGAAAACCGTCGTTCGCGAGAAAACGAAGCGAAACGGTTACTCGTCGTTCGCGATACGATTTCTTTCGTTCGATCGTAATATTCTCGGCCATTACGCAACACGTATATTTGTACAAAACCGCGAACAATGGATGTTTCTTCGACTGCTTTCACTTACCGCGAGACAAATCGAATAATTCGATCTCTTACGATTTATTATTGGTTATTACGTGATTTTCAATTACAGACAGATGATTACCTGTGGATTTTGTGGTTGACCACGAAGACCACCCCTTGGCGGTCCGTTCACCCTGATCTGTCCTTGGTCCAACGATGGTTTACGATACAACTGCGAACAAAATATACATTTATGGCTCATTAATCGCGAAATCGATCTCTTTCGTACGTGGAACCATTCATGAAAGTTCACGCACTTGTTACGCAGCTGCGCCCAGGGAATAAACTCACGTGAGAGACGGTGCTCTTTGGGGCAACCGGTTATTTTTACGTAAGCCTTTACATAACGTGTAACGTAATATTATGTGATCCGACTTCTTTCATCGGACTGAACAATATTCGAAATCGGAGCAGGATCGGAAAGCGAGAATGTTCGAAGCGAAAGGAAAAAAAAAGGTATCGTAAATTGGAGCAACTTTTACTCAGTCAGAATACCTTCGTCCCCCCAATGTCAGAAAATGATCATTTTCGATTTTGCAGCTCTGAAAATTGTTGAACACAGGTGATTCTTATGTGAAAAGGTATTTTACATAAAAATACCTGCCAAAGGGCTACGCAAATATATGCGTGCCTGTTATTTTTTGTTATTATGTAAATTCGAATAAGTTAAATTTGAATAAAAAACCATGAAACGCGTCTACGAAATGCACAAAGTCAAAAAGGGCCTCAGTAGATAATTTCGATCTCGTCACTTACAGATTGCTGGCTACCAGGGTTCCTGTACGCTGGCGTAGGTGTGGGCGTCACGATATTATCCTCGTAACTGTTATCACGGAATCCTTGAGCAGCGGTAGCATAAAGTGGTCCCAGGCTGGAGGGTTTGCCAGGATATGGTACTCTTCCATCCAAATCGTAGGAGTTCTGCGCCGCCGCGGTGGCAGCCAACGCAGCTAGACACAGCCACAACATCCTGGAAAAAGGAAAATTCTGTGTGAGTTCCAGTGACTGGTCCGTGAATAAATTTTTATTATCTAGAACTACACGCTCGATGCACTTTCTCGAGCATGAGAGGTGAAACAACGGATTACAGGTGGACGTACGCTTGAGGGAAAGTGACCTTGACTATTGGTATCATCCATAATGGCGATGGAATCGAAGTGGAAAGTAATGATATATCGTTGGGGATCAATGCTAAACGGGGATTCACCTTGCGATAAGTGAAACCTGGCGATCGTCTTGATATCGATTAATTGGCTTTATTAGCCCGTAAACGGAACATACACGGTTATTTCTTACTTAGAGAGCCTTGGCAGCTGACGCTTTCATCTTATGCTTTTATGTACGTTTCTTCATGTAATGGAAATATTACTTTTACAGATTAGGAAGTAATGCTACGTATGTGTAAGAGTGTATTTCAAAGTCGGGAGCTTATGCTAAAGTAGTTAATAGTTCGAACCATATCATTTTTTTAAGCGTCACTTTTCAAGGGTTTAGGAAAATATTGATTCATCTTTCTTAGAGCGCTGTTATTTTGTCACCCACTAATTAAAGTGAACAATATGAAATACAGATACTGTAAGTTGGGGTAACTTTGACTCAATTAGGGGTAACTTTGTTCCAATATCAGAAAATGATCTGGATTTTCGATTTTTCAACTCTTTTGTTAGTATTTTTACGTGAAATATAAAAATATTAACTTTTCACAGAAAAATCAATTTAACAAATTTGCAGAGCTGCGAAATCGAAAATGTCCATTTTCTGACTTGGGACAAACTCACACTGACTAATTGTAAGTCAAAGTTCCCCAAAGTCACGGTACATAATAAGATTTTAAATAAAATTCGAAATATACGTTTCCTTGTCCCATCTGTGCCGTATTATCCTTCTAAACACACCAGGGATTACAAATGTACAATCCAAGCGCACGTGCTCATAATTTCATCCTAATGATTGCAAATTATCCTCGACCTGTCTGCAAGATTTACGAGATCCATTATGGTAGTTGAACGATTAAAAGCGACGTCGCGGTTTCACCGTTGAAAATAAAAACGCCCGTAGAAAAGAGAATCGGTTGGAAAGGGAAGGACGCGCGAGTCACGTCTTGGAAAAAGTGATATACCTCGCGGTGATTAGCGAATCGCAGTCGCAGCTGTTCTCCGTGCAAGTGTGCCGGAGAGTACCTACACGGCGTGTAATGCCGATGACCCAGAATATTCGAGGGAAACAGGGCCACGGAGAAATGCGGTGAAATGTCGTAATCGTATTCCGAAACCTGTGAATGTGCACGATCTCTTCTCGAATTTTTAACGTCGCGGATAATCCAGTTGGTACAGTCGACTCCCGACTGAAAAATGGAATCAATTTGCAACGATCTATCTACACGCGGATAAACTAATTGAGGGAAAAAGAAGTTGCTAATTTACGAGGCAATAAAATTAAGTGAAATCCCGTTTTTACAGACCGAATAACTTGTTTGAATGTAATCTGGGGAAAGTAACGATCGTCTATTCGAAAATTGATCTCCTTAGGGGATAAGCACTTTGCCCTGGGTTGCAGAAAAAGTGGAGAAAATTATTGGGTTTTATTGTGTCAAAAATGATTGTAATTGCTTAGTTGATCACTTACGGTATGCATACATTAACGTCAGCGATCTATTGGGTTAGTGGAAAAGCAATTTTGTTTTCGCGTATTTATGTAAAATTGACTGAATTGTTAACGCAGGGAATAATGTCATTGGATAATTGCAATGGGGGAAATTAGATTATTAATTATATAAGTTGGTGCTATTTAAAGCCTGTTGTTTTCTTTTGAATCGCGGATTTTATACATTCATCGCATATACGATTATTTACAACTCGGTGGCTTAAAAAGTTTGTTAAATTCCAATGAAGTTTTCATATTATTTGTAACCTGATAGAATCCCTAATAAGATAAATATGGATCTATTCGACTTCAGTGTCCATAAATTATTTCATAAAAATCTATTAGGTATACAAATTAATTCGTTGCCTTCTCTTCATAGATTTGTTGTTTATTTACTATATTATTACTAAAATATTCCCCGCCACTTTTTACACATTTACGCCATTTATCGAGCAGTGGAAGAATCCCTTCTCGAAAGATAATGGCAGTTTTGAGCCAATAATTAATTGTGGAGCCACGAATTAATTTGTATACCTAAATTATTTGCATAAACTTCCGCAGTCTAGTTATAAACATTCCATATATATATAATGAAGTAGCTTTGTGAACATATTATATTAACTATGTCAAGGACACTAAAATCGAACCAATTACAAAAACAGGCCTCCATTTGCGATCCTTAGGGGGACATACATTAAAATAGAAACTGCATTTTATAAAAGCAGTTTGTCTTTATACTTTCTACGTGATGTTCGCAAGGACAGTTTCGTCCAATGAAACATCGCCAGCGCAGAATTTATACAGCATCTCAATATTTGGTCTCTGGCGGCGACTCATTGTTTGCCTCGAAAGAAAGACAACGGGGGTTCACACTTCTATCGACGATTGCCGTGGAAAGCACCACACTTTCTAAGTGCGTAAAACACGGACAGCGGTTTCACGATCCACTGAAGACATCTCGTTCGTGACGGTGATGATGTATCGCGGGGAGATCCGTAGCTTTCGATAAATTTGAAAGGCTCGCGAGCCGCGAGAGTGGACCTCCCGGGTGTCGTTAGATCTCTCGTTGATCGAAAGAAACGCTTCTGTTGAGCGTGACAAAAGCGACAGACGGTGGAAAAAAAAACGGGCACCGTTTGGGATCTAGCAACGTAAAAACGAAATAACTTCTCGATGCGCAACGTAATCCGGATCGAAACCCTTTTTTACTCGCCTACGGATCGATGTCCCCGTCATTTTCTATCTCGACACGAAAGTGAACCAGCGCAGAGATTTAACCCTTTAACGCTGGTTGACGAGTATACTCGTCCAGATAGCACTTGACGTCCAGTGTCGCCTTGAAGTCGGCTTAAAGGCGCCTTAGATCGAAAATAGCCGTAAAATGGGCGTTTTCAAGACGTCGTGTGAAAATCGGCATTTTTTTGGGTAATGACGAGTATACTCGTCATGTGAAAAAATAAAATACCTTTAGCTATACAAATGGAAATTTGAGTAAAAATTGAATTAAGTTTCTATTAACAACACTTGTTACATTAATGAATTTCGGAAGAATAAAATTATTGTTCTAATTTGTAATATTTGCCATTTTGTTAGAAGTTGATTCGCAGTAGGTGCATTCACTTTATGTTTTCGACGAGTATACTCGTCATCGATTGATTTTAATTACGCACGCAGATATACATAACAATATCCCACCATTACAGGGTTAAAAATGAGATCTACAGATTTAAAGATCTAAAGATTTCCTGAAACAGGTGGCAAAGGTCGAAGGTAATCCAGGTTTTTCCACGCTTAACGAGGCAGTTTACGCAACAGTACCCGTTTCTGGGATCACTGGGGAGCCATCGCGCCGTTTTAGTCGCGATTTTCTCGATTAACCTGTCCATTTAAAGAACAAAGTGGTTAACCATTGGCACCGGGGCAAGACACGGAAAAATGTGGTTGTCGCTCTTAATGAGGAGCCTGCCTTTACTTAGGCGTAAACCGGCCGGTAACCGGCCCCGGATCGTTACGAAGCGGGGCGACGGGGACTCGATCGGTAGCCCGAGTGAAAGTGAGAGGGGTCCCTTGCGTGTAAAAATGGCACCAAGCGAGAAAAATGGGAACGTATCTGTATCGGGTGTTGCGAATTGAATTATGGTGTAAGCGCATGCAGATCGCGAAACAATATCGTTCAAGGCTCGTCCGTTGAAAGGACAAGGAGGGTGTTCGTCACGAGGATCCATCGGAAACTCGATCGAGGGGGGGTCACCTCTTCGCGTTCCGTTTCTGTGTTACACGAGTTTCTCGTGTTCCAATGATCGAGAAAACCACGGAGATGTTCTTTATACGTTACAGACATCGCCAGGAGAATAGTTAGCTAGTTTTTTTTACGACAAAATGTTCATTTCCAGAATCTTGATTTTTAATTTATACCTCGAAGTTTGGTATTTTCATGAATAAAATGATGAGGGCGAAGAGGATCGATCTGTTAAAAAATAAGTCACTGAGCTATTGGCATTCCAAAATTTTTGTTCTACTTTTAGACTAGAAATACCGACAATGAGCGTATGTGTACAGGATATCCTCGATGAGTGTTCGAAGGCTTCTCGACACTGACAAAGAGAGGTCCCCAAGTGTAATGCTGATTAATGCTTTTGGTAATACTTACTGATAATTGCTTTTTAATGAGGTTTAGCACAGGGATAGAGCTTGGAATTCTGAAACGAATGGTACCTGTTTCAGCCACATATGGCGATTAGATTATGAAATATTTAATGTTCAGTGCCGAGGAGTTTTCAATCACTCATCAAGGATTTACGGTATTTATTTTTATCTAAAATAGAGAGCGGTGGAAAACAAACGCGACGATGAGGGCTAAGTTTGAGCGATCGGAATAAGTTTCACAACGGAAGTTTTGTGTTTCCATGTCGAGGCGTGTCCTTTCTTTCGATAAAATTACAGATGGCGGTCGCTGGCAGCTGATCCAGAGGGGTTTCTCGAGGCGGCGCCCAAAGAAAGCAATTGCATAATGAAAAAAGAGATAGTTGCCCGGTAACTACAAACGAGGGGAAACACGGCCGTATAATATAATCAGTGGAGGGCACACGTAACTGGTCGGCCGGTTCCCCCGTGCTCATAAGGAAATCTGGAGTAACGTTTTATCGCCGAGACATTTTTCCCCAGGGTAGACCAAAGCCTGCGGTATAATATCCGACGTATTAACCTTTTACTCTCGTGTATCGAGCCGTGACAAACTAGGTGGTCCAGAATTTTAAGTATCCGATATATCCGCAGACTTTCGTCCTTCAGGATCAAGTATCTAGGTTATGTAATATCCCTGTCCT